ATTTCTTGCTGCTTTTTGACAATCTATATTTATTTAGTAGAACAAATTTCAATATATTACTTGAAACTATGAAATAGAATTGAGTTAGCAGTTGACTGGTCATGTGATGTATAGAAGTACAATATGCTGTGGTTAATTCTGCAGTAGGTTTGTTAATTTTGTTTATCTGCACTAAAGTACGAAGATCTCCATTCTGTTTAACCATTCAAACTGAGGGTGTGATCCAAGGTCTGTCATGTGTTTGAAAGCTAAATCCTGGAACTTGCTGTGGGAGTAGAATATACTAAACCTTTTGCATGAGGAGTTTGTTGAGACAGTAATGTAGCTGTGACATTTTGCCAATTCTTAAATGCTTCTACGTTATGCTGAAAGTCAGATTCCTGGTAAAGTTTTGCTTTAGAGTCAGGCTTAAGTAAACTTGCACAGCACAAAAAATATTGCACCAAAGGTACTGATAATATTTGAACAATAATCTGTACATTTTGCTCATTTGGAATTTTTTCTGCATTCGTTGATCTTCCTTTATGAAGTGAATTTCTAGCGTTGTAAGAACTTAGGTGAGTGTAAATCTCTTCCAAAATTATTAGTTACTGTAGAAGGAAACATTTTGTAATATCCACTTGCTTCCATCGATGAGATTTAGGATAACTCAAAGCAGTTTTGGTGCACCAGACATGCAGTGTRTGTATGTTCTACAAGAGATCCAAGAGCTCCCTGTTTGCGAGGCTGTTGAGAGGTGGCATCCAACATTCAGTGCTCAGGTATGTTAGTAAGAAGTACTGTAGTCCTATGAGGGCAAATGTGTGGATTTTTAAACATTTTGCCATAATTGCACAATTTTGCATTTTTACTTAATGTCATGTTATGTTTCTTAAAATAAACCTATTGTTGAAATACAGTGGAGTTCAACTGTTTTTGTGACAAATCTGTGTGCATTTTAGTAAATTTCTGAAAATTAACCTGATGTATCTTTGATGTTTGTTTTTAATTCTGCACTTGTGCCTTGCCTGTGTGTAATGTCCTTTTTTTTTTTTAGGTGGAAGGTGCTTTGTTCTTTTGTTTCATTCCTTGTGGCTATTCAGGTCTAACTTGGCATTTGTTTACGAGTAGGCAACATGGTCTTTCCCTTCCCATTCTCCTTGCCTTTGTCTGCAGCTGACATCCCAGCAGGAATGTCAAATAGGGCTTTCCAGCCTGAGAACACTGCATATTGGAAAACCCCAAYCCCCCTTACACTGAATTTCCCAGCATCGTTGCTGCAGAGCTGAGAACTAGAGGGCCCTGGCTCTAAAAGCAAGGCTCCAGCATKAAATGTGGTTTCTGCTGCAGTGATGGTGCTTAGCAGAGCAGCTCATACATGATGCTGTTGTTTGGCAACCTTTGGTGTCTTCCAGAGACTCTCTTGTGACCAGTGGAGAAGCCAAGTCATGGCAGCCTAGGGAAACAGCACGGAATTCTCTCCTTTGGGAAGGTGAGCCCTGCAGTCCCAGGRACATGGTGGGACAGCTCATGTGACAGATTTTGGTATGAAGGGCTGCACTGTTTGGGGAAGACACTGCAGGAAGGCATGGTGATTGTAGTGGCAGCAGTTGTAATGTGCTGAGCTCTGTCTTGGGGTGGATGGTGAGTCAGGAGCTGATGGGCCCTGCTCAAAGGACAGGCTGCTGAGGATGGCCTGRTGTGGCCCTGATGTGGGTGTTTGTCACAGGCCACATGGGCAGCAGGAGGAACTCCATGAGGCTTTCTACAGGCAGCCTCTTCAGGGGTCTTGGAGCAATAGCATGGGAGCAGGGCCTGCAGTGAAGAGGGATCCACGAGAGATGGTTGATATTCAAAGATCACGTCCTTCAGGGTCTAAAATGACGCGTCCTGATGAACAAGAAATAGGGTAAAAGGAGCAAGAGACTTGTGTGGATGAAAAAGGAATTTAGGCRTAAGCAGGAAATACACAGGAGATGGAAGCAGGGTCAGAGCAAAAGAGGGACACAAGTGTTTCAACTACGTTCTTTGATCCTCTAATTTCTCTTGTGACAAAGAACAGATACCTGGATTGTCCCCCAGTGGCCCAAGTTCCTGTGGAGCTCTTGTGAAATCCTCTCAGCTTGGCATGTGGTACAATGGCAGTGCTATAACAGAGGTGGGTGAGATCACTTTGCGAGGTCAGGTTAACCTGAGTCAGGTGCAAGGAGGGTGAGCAGCTCACTGAGGAGCTGGGGAGCCACAGGCCTGCAAATGATTATACTCTGAGAGTCAACAAGGATTTTTCTTCTTTGGCTACCAAAGTAAATTCCAGTGTATTTTTTTTTGAAGAGAGGAGTAGCTGGGTCCTTGAGAGATTCTTTCTGTCTGCAAGTTGGGGTGGAATTATTTGCTGGGTGTGTTTTCCTCTTCAGACATCCATTTAGAAKTGAGATGTGCTGTTTTGGAAGCATCTGCTGAAGGACCGGAACCCACAAACTCCTGCACACCCCTTAAAACAAAGTATCATTACTTAAATGAACTTGTCTGCTATGTTTGTGCCTGAAGCTGTGAAATGCAGGCTGTCCAGGGGAGTATCTCACATCTTGGCACATATGTGCAGCCAATAGGTGGGGAAATAATCACCCAGCTGTTGCTTTCTCCTTATCTCTTTGCAGCATGTTCTCCCCTCTGGGCCTCCCAAAGAGGCAAGAGTGAGACCAACAAAACTGGAACCTCCCCCATTTCTTAATATCTCACTAAGGTCCCCTGTGCCTCACTGCTGATTTTTGCATTTCTCTGTTCTAC